GCCTGTGTAACCCAGGTATCTCTCGTAATTTCTCGTCAACTCTAGGCGAGCACCCTGACACTAGCCAGCACCTCATCAGCACAGCCACAGACCTCCCGTCTTCACCCTCCTTCTTCCTTTAACCTGATGAAGCTTACTTTGCTTGGAGGCAGCTGGTCTGGGTCTCAGGGCTGGAGGACTTCAGGTGAGGGCTGGCAGAGAAGACGAGGCTCGAGATTCTCTCCGGGGCTCCAGCAGCTTTTCCTCCCGTCCCCCTCTCTGCTCACAGCTTTCCCAGGAACGGCTTCCTCTCTGCGTTCTGAGAACCTCCTCCACGTTCCTGTTCCTTTTGTTGCGCTCTGCATGCTTATCATTTGCTAGTGAGCAGGTGGTATTTCCCCTTGAAAAAGTCTCTTCCAATCCTTCCTAGCCAGAGCCTTGACTGCAGCTAATGGTCCACGGTCCTGCAGGTGGCACCCCAACCCAGGCAACCCTAATCGATCACACGTGATGGTGAAAGGGCACCGGATACTTGGATGTGGTCTCCCCACAAGATTGCTAAAGGAGTCGTGAGACTCTGTCAGGAGAGACCAGCATATATTGCAGTAACATACACTTCCCAGCCTCAGTGGCTTAAATCACTCCTACAGCATAACTATCACATCCTCAGGGGACGCTGTTTTTCACTGTCCTCACTCAGGGCTCCAAGCTGAGGGAGGCTCCATCCTCCAATGATTGTGGAGGAAAAAAGAAAAAAAAAAGGTCAATGTGGTAATTGCACCCTGGTTCTTAATCACTGTACAGCTTCCCAGATTAGGGCTGGTGTGTCCACTGTGCGGTCGATGCCCAAATGCTGGGACCCAGGTCAGATCCTAGGGAGGGGCCATCCCACTGCACAAGCCCTTTCTGTGGAAGGTTTGCTCCAAGGTCATGGTTGTGTACCTGTGAGAATGGTCCATGCCTTGCTCCCTGCTGGGGTGTCCACTCACCTGTGGGCAACTCATACTCCTTGTTCTAGCTAATGGCGAGGTGCTGGCTGATTCTCAACGCCTCCGATCTTGGCTCTGCATCTCTCCCAGTTCTCTCCTCCCTGGCTTCACTAGGTAGAGGAGGCTGATCAGTAAGTCTGTGGCTTCACAGAGGACCAACTGGGAAGTGAGAGGTCAGGCCTGCACCCATTCCCTGAGAACCTCCCGCTTTTTCAGGTTCAAGCAGGAGGAGAGGAAACCATCCAGGGATTCTTGCCTCTCTCTCCTCTCCACCCCAACCCTTCACTATAGATCGGGACCGGGCCGGGGGCCTGGTTGCAGAGCTATTTCAAGTATCATGCTATCACCAGGGAAGGTGCCCAGCTGCGACTGTTGTTCTTTAGAATATGGTATACTTAGCATCTTTTCTTCTTCATTTTGGGCCTTAATTATTGGGAAGTAGAAAATGTTACCCATCAAAGTCGTGTTATGGTGGGTTTAGTGATAGGTGCAAAGGATCCCAGAGAGAGCCCCCCAGGGGTTCCAACCCCAGGCTCAGGGATCCCCCGGCTCCTACCATCAGAATCCTAATGGGTCTGCTGCTCTGTCCTTGGGGCATCTACCCCAGGCCACACAGGACCCCTGGTGACCCACTCACCCCACTCCTCACACAGGCCTCTGTGTAAATATATCCTCTAAATTTCTTGAGTGGCCAGTTTCTCTTACTATTTCACCCCCTGCAATCCTGGAACCATGGAAGGACTCGGGCCCTTTTAATGGGACTCCTTTTAGAGCTTGGCAGGCGGCGGCAAATGGAAACCCCAATCTTTCCCGTTCTCCCATCCTCCCCACCCACCAGTGTTGAGAAATTCCTCCCTACAGGCAGAGCCCCTCCCGTTAAAGGCAGGACTCTGCTTTCCTAAAGGTCACTCTTGAGACCCAGGTAGAGGGCCAAGATGACTCCAGGTTTTAGATGACCCCCTTGATTATAAGTCACTTCAAAATCCTTGAGGGGTGTGCAGCAGACCTGGTGGGGACCAGGACCCTGTGCAGCAGGACTGCTGCCTGGGGCGGGGGGGCCAGGAAGGCTCTGCAGCATTCTTTTTGGGAAAGGTGGGAGGGGGTCAGTGGGAGATATGAGGGAACCCTTGGGGAGCAGCAAGAGGCCAGCCGAGGTGAGAGAGCAGGTGAGGGGATGTGGACTTAGCTGCCTGCTATTGCTCATTTCCCAGGTGTCTCAAACAGAATCCTGGACTTCGAGTCAGATCAGCCTCTCATTTTGGTTTGTCCATTGAATTAACTTTAGCTTTTTAAAGTTTCACTCCCTTCATCTTTCACAGACCCAGATTCCTCCCGTCCAGGCTCTTTGCTCTACCGCACACAGGTCAGCAGGTCTTGCATGGAAGGAGGTTTGTGTGTTTTGGGGAGATGGGGAGGCACACACAGAGACAAAAGGGGTCCAGACAGGCTGAGGGTCCACAGAGCGAAGAGGGGCCTGTACAGAACGGGGGGATGCAGCAAATACACCTTTAGGAAGTAGGACACGTATGAGACGATCTTCTTGGAGGGGATCCACATGATGGGGCTGTGGTTAGCAGTGATGGAAGAAAGAAATGAGAAGATGAAATGTGTCTGCTTTAGAGACGAAATAAGAAGCAGACAAAGCAAGAGTAGGGAGGCAGACGTGCAGGGGAGGGAGAAGAAAAGCCGCAGCAATCAGAGGAGTGGCTGAGAGAGCCCTGTGGAAGGGTCACGTTTGATGAAGAAAGTCAGAGGAGCTGGCTCCAGGGGAGGAGGATATGGCCGGGGGAGGGACAATGGAGAGGGGAACGAAAGGCCTGGAGTGGAGCGGGCGGGTAGAGGAAGAGGGGTCAGAAGGAATGAGACACCGCAAACTTGGGAAGCAGACTGGGATCAGGCCGAGGTGTCTCTGCGAGGCAGCTTGTGTTGGGGGCTTTCACACTGTGACTAGAATGATGTGCAGGCCAGCACATGGGCTCCTTTGGGTGCATAACAGACACTCAGGAAAATCGCAACTGCACCTGAAATCTGCTACTGTGATTGTGCCAGTCTCAGACTCCAGCCCAGGTCTCTGCGAAGCCTGGGCTCCTGCACCCTCCTGCTTGGGTGTCCCACAGGCCTGGAAACGCACTGTGCTTAAAGCCAGGCACATCCTCTCCATCTGCCTCCCATCAGCGCTGGCTATGCCAGCCAGCCACTCCCCCAAGCCCACCCCACAGCCCTCCTTGCCTCCTCCCTCCAATGTCCTTCCCTCCTTATGTTCCTCACTGTGTCCTATAAATTCCCCCCTACTTCTCTTTCCCCTGTGCCCTCCTCTCCATGCCCAGGGCCACAACATCATCTGCCTCCTACAGGAGTCAATAGTTATAAATGGCCTGTGCTCTCCATTCCATCCATTACCCCTCAACCATCCTCCACAATGCAGACAGTTCAGACTGAGTAACTAAAAGGCAAATCAAATCACACTGCTGCCCTGCTTAAAGTCCCTCAGGGGAGGACACTGACTTGTGTCCCCTCCAATTCAGAGGTTGAAGCCCTAAATTCCAATGTGACCATATTTGGAGATGGGCCCTTTAAGGAGGTTAAATGAGGTCATAAGGGTGGGGCCATAATCCAATAGAACTCAGGTCCTTATAAAACGAAGACAAGAGGCTAGAGATCTCTCTCTCCAAGCACAATGGAGACACAGTGAGAAGATGGCCATCTGCAAGCCAGGAAGACGGGCCAAACCCAAAACCAACCCTGATGGCCCCTTGATCATGAACTTCTAGCTTCCAGAACTGTGAAAATAGAACTTTTTATTGTTTAAACCACCCAGTCTATATTACTCTGTTATCACAGCCTGAGCATACTAATACCATAGCTTGCAGTAAATACAATTGCCTTAGTTTATCCCCAAATACTATTCTTCTTGATCTGTTTCAGTTGGTTCATATGCTTCATTGGCTCCTTCCCATCACTTGGCTTTTGGAAGGGACCCTAGAACATACAATGTGCTCACTACCCTCCTCTCCTTACCTGAGTTGTTCAGACCAAGGGCGGACGCCTGACACAAAGCAACCCATCCGCAGGTACCCCAACCACATGACACAGTTTTCTGCAAAGAATTGTACTTTCTGGGAATGGACTTTTGCAGGTGGGGAAGTAGCCACATTCTCTTCAATGAACATTTGCACTCAGACTAAAAAGTTAGTCTGTTAATTTTGGGGAGGTGGAGCTACAAGGTTGTGACATAGCATCAAGGCTGATGGCTGTGCTGGGCCATGAATGAGACAAGCAAAGCAAAGGGAGCAGCTGGGGAGGGAAGAGAAGGGGACTGGCCCACAGGGAGAAGGAAGCAAGGAGGAGGGGATGATGTGCTTTGGAGGAGGTGGAGTGGTCTCGGTTCCTATGGGTTTTCAGGGCCCCGTGGCTGGCTGTGCCCCCTGCCCTGACCCAGGCCTTTGCAATGTCACCATTTCTCGAACTCATTTAACAGGTTTCAGTTTCTCATAAGCAGAAGAGCCTTGGTTAAGGGTGTTTTACCTCCCACTCTGGACTGTGAGCTTTTTGGCAGCTATAACTTTATCTTACTCCTTGTGCATCATCAGAATGAAGCTCAATGCATAGAAATACACTTGTTAAATGAATGATGAGCAAACAAATGAATGAATACAACTATTGATGATCAATTCGGGGCACTGTTTGCCTAGCTGGAATCCTGCCCCACCACGCCCTTCTCTGTATTACAAAGATTTCTTTGCCCTTTATCACAACTCCACTGCAGATGTTCTCTAGCACCTGAAGTCCAGATTTTGACAAGTGGAACTTCCCTGAAGTATTTTTGGCTTTAAAAATACTGCATCCAGCACATTGGCATCTGAGGAGATGACAGATACAAATAGGAGGTGACACCTTCACCTCAACCACATCTGCTCCAGAAGAAACCCAAGGTGGCTTTCTGTACCTTCTGAAGAAAAACGGGTGAAGCAAGCTGTATTTAGAGAGATATAAGTAGAGCTTTTATTTTTTTTAAACCAACCCAACATTTCCATTGGCAAGTGTCAACATAGCTTATGACATGAGCACGGTTTCTTTTTCATTATTTCTTTTTCTTAAAAAATGTGTTTAAAATTAAACAGGTGTTTTTTAATTTCTTTTTTCCTCTTAAAAAATGTATTTATGTCAATGCAGAAAGCCGAAAGCTCTGTGAGCAGTTTTGTGGCGATCTCACGTGTGTGTTGTATGTGTGTGTGTTTTAAAGCCAGGTCCATTCAAAATTAGTTGGGAGAAAGTCTGGAGGGCATAGCAATCTCTTTTTCTAGAAACCCAGGCTCAATGGTATTCTGGCAACTAAGATCCCGCCCACTGGGCTGAGAAATAGCCCACAGGCTGGAAAAAGAGCTTCGGGGGGTTTAAAAATAAGAAGGAATGTGGGAGAGATGAGGAATTCCAATCCCTATCTTGTGAAATTGCTTTCAGACATAACCTAGGAATCCAGGAGAAGTGGAAGGAGCCCCTTATTGTCTTATAGACCTCTAAGTTTTTACATTACCTCAAGAAATATAGTCAGACCCCTCGGTGTGGTGCATCTGACAACCAGGGGTGGTAAAGCTGACCTTTCTCAGAGGCACTGACATGTTAAATATCTTTCCCCCTTAAAGATTCTAACTAGTGGGATATGCCTGCTCTCCTGCCTCAGATTATGAAGCCAAAGATACTCAAGAAGGCAAAAATCACTTTGTTTCTCCAGCTGCCCTCTGTCATCACACACCATTCTTATTTTTGTCCCATTTGGTGGGTCTTCCCACAGAAGAAGCATATAGGCATCGACACCACGAGACAGAATTTGAAAGGCTTGGCAAGGAAGAGAACAATGACTTTTTCTTTTGAACTTGATTTTGACATAAGCCTATGAAGCTTCTCCTGCTCCAGCCACCACCCTTGTTTTTTAGTGCCCTGCGTGGGCGCACAAACTGACTTCCACCTAAACGTCATCAGTCCACCTAAGAATTCAGAGGCAAAAAGGAGATGGACAAGACCTTGATGGAGCCAAGAGGCACCTGCCAACCAGGGAGTGGGAGAGGGTGTGAAAATTCATGTCCCTGTCCCTCAGCTAAGACCTTCCTTCACAGCACCTTTGGCACTAACGTCAGAAAGAAAAGGCAAAACAAATGGACGATGAGCAAAATCTGATGGAAAAACAAAAGCAACCACAATAATGATGACAATCATCATTGTCATCATTTTCATCATGAAAAGAGAACCCCGAACCAGCCACATGGCTATGCCTCACTTTCACAACCCACCAGCTGCGAAAACAGGGGGCATTGGATGGGACAGAAAGGAGGAACCCTCCCTGCCCTCAAGGAAGGTACAAAAGCACAGGAATAATCAGAAGGTGAAACAGAAGAAGGTGAAAGGATCTGACCTTTGCTACGGGTCAGGGACACGGGTGGGGAGATGGGTGGAGGTGGATTTGTTGCTGTTGTTGGTTTGTACTGAATTAAACACTCAGTACACTGGATGTTTCCTCCATTCTGTTTGACGGATTAAGACCGCCCTTCCAGATCACCGCCAGGGCGCAGGTTGTGTGAAGTTCCTGGGGCTTGCGTCCTGAAGCTGCCTCTCCAGGGCTGCTCATCCCGGGAAGGTCCCTGGTGGTGAAGTGTCCTTGCAGAAGAAGTCCTCGGCCTGCCCTGCTCAAGGCCTCATCTGTGGCTTAGAACCCCTTGATGTAGCAATAGGCCTCCAGCGAGGCAAAGAGTATGTAGAGAAGCCACAGGCTCACAAAGAGCGAAGTCGTGGCAAGCTTGCAGCCACGAGGGCCACCTAGCTCCCCGCCTAGGTGGGGCCTGCGGCGGTACAAAAGCACGCTGATACAGACAAATGCGAAGATGGTGAAGAGGGTGACGGAGAAGGCCAGTGTGCCTGCAGACACGTGGAACTCCTGTCCCTGCATGGCCCAGTAGATGGCGGCCACGGACCAGGCCAGGCCAATGCCCAGGAAGACATTGACTGCGTTGCTACCTGTGACGTTGCCAATGGAGGCATCTGCATACACGTCCTGGATGGCGGCAGCTTTGCTGGCAAACGTATCTGGAGAAAGGCAGAGATAAATGGGAGCTGGAGGGAGGCCAAGATGAGGACAGCCTACTTTTACATCCAAAAGGCAGCTTGGGCTAGCGAACTGAACCCAGGAAGGAGAAGGAGCTCTGCCATTAACAAGCCAAGTGGCCTTGGACAAGTCATGTTACTTCTCTGAGCTTTCTGTTCCTCATCTGCCAGAGTCTGAAAGATTCCTAAGGGCTTTAGTGGTCCTGATATTTACCAAGTGAGTTTATTGTTCCCTTTGACCGTTTTTTCAGTAAGGGAGGTTTACTATCCAATAATACCTTCCCCTGGAGCCTAGAAATCCTGGGAGGTGCCTTAGAGTAGACACCTGATTGTAACTGTCACCTGGGGCATTTTACTTAGATACACGATTCATTGCTCAAGGCCTGTGGGCTCAGCATTGTGCTAGGTGCTGCTGGATTTAGGCGGACAGAGGACATACTGGGAACCATGATGAGGACCTGCAGGGTGAGCTGTGTGGACTCACAAAAGAGGGGGCACTGCCTTTGCACTTAGTATGTGAGCACATGACCCTATAGGCTGTTTGACTTTAGATGTCGGCATGGATTGTAGGCACTAGAAGGACTATTGGGATATATAGTCACCCTTTTATTTCACAGGTAAGAAAAATAAGGGTCAGGGAATCTACCCAAGGTCAAATGGGAAGTTAGCAAGAGATTTGATCCTGAAACTTTCACAGAAGGGCCCATTGCATACCATCACCCTATGTCCAAAGAGATTCAACCAAAGCCACCAACTTAGTGGAGTAGACCATAGCATCACCTTCTTCAAGCCCCTACAGCTACTGGCTGTTCCCTGGACCAACTGCAAGAACTTGGAGGTGCCCCAAACTCTCCCTGAGGTTCTGGCTTGCCTCCTTGTGGCCAGTTTTCTCAGATCTCCCAGAGGAAACTTCTTGCCTATGACCTTGCTTTTTTCCCCCTCTGATCCTCTGCAATTTCTTCCCATATCTGTTCTTTTTCCCATCTGTTCCTTCCTCTTTGATAGCTCCAGTCCCTTGAGACCTGGAAAACAGAGATCAGAGGGCATGTCCTCCACAGCCTGCCCTGGATCACCCATCTAATTTCCTACAACTTGATGCATTTCCATAATAGCCAGACATCTTGCATCACAAACATAGAAATAATTTCATTGGTCTTTGCCGTGGTGTGGGGAGGATTCCGTTACTCTCCAGAAGGATTTGTTTTTTGGGGCCAGGAATGGTTTTCCTGGGCCGAGCCAGCAGAGTACTGTGTGATGAGATTCAGCCTAACCCTTGTGTAGGAAGATGCTCTCTCTTCCTGTGGTGACTGGAAGGCTAGCAGCAGTTCAGGGTTCAAGTAAGGAGCCTGAGCTAATGCAGACCCTGCCACCTGCTAACTGCTAACTGCTATTCATTGCTCCAGCCCAGCTTACGTATGTCCTCTCTTGGAAGCCAATCCCTGACCCAGCCTATCCCTGGTCTCCTTTTTTACACTGGTACAGCATCTGTAGTTTTTCTTCATGGAACTTATTGAGATGATTTTAATTATGGCAGTTGAGTGTAATCTCTGTCACTAGATTATAAAACTCCATGTGGAGAGAGGACACATGTGTGTCTTACTTTCCATTTTCACCCCTGCCACTAGCACAAGACTCTATCAGGCTCGGTAAATATTGGTCTAATTAATGAATAAATGCATGCTTGTTCCTGTTCATCTTCAGGTATTTGTAAGAAAAAAAGAATATGTAATTCATCATATGAGAGACACGACATTGCTGAGCTTCCTTTGCCTGTCCCCATGGAAGACACTTTGTGCTCACAGGTATCATTCTAAGTAGTAAAGGCCAGCAATGCTGTGGGCATTTATCTGTTATGACATCTTCACACAGGCTAAGCTGTAGCTTCTCAGGGCCTGCCAGAGGGAAATGGAAGTAGAACGTCATCTACATTCTTTGAGTTACATTTTTGGTGGCCTATTCATATAATATGAAGGTTAAAAAATTGAGCCACTTATTTGGGCAGGTAACTCAACCTCTGTGGACTTCCGTTTCCTTATCTGTCAAGTGGGCCTAACAACTGTCCCTATTGAATATGGTTTTGGTGAGCATTACAAGGATAAAACATGTAAATTGCTTCATGCCTGACACATTCAACTCCTCAAGAAATGTTGGCTATCACTAATAGTGGTATCATTAATCACTTTGATTGACTTTTGTGCACCTTAGGGGCAGAGGGTCTGTTAAGCTCAGATCTGAGATATTAAGAAGATAATTAGGCAGAGGGTTGGGGTCACTTAAACCCAGTAATATTCTCAAGCATCCCTCACTCTCACCTGGTACAGAGGTGCCAAACGCCACGAAAACAACAGCTGTGACGGAGTCCTTGAGGCCAATGGTACAGCCAAAGTGGGAGGCCAGGTCCCCGATTATGGCCGTGAGCATGCCGATGATGAGGATGGAGACGACGAAGCAGGCCCAGCCATTGCAGTACTCTGTGGGGGGCACGCAGGCAAACAGCACCTTCCAGAAGACGGTCAGGAAGTGCATGACGTAGTCAAAGCAAGACGGCAGCCTCTCCTCACCTGACTCATCCTCATCCTCGTCCCCTGCTAGAGGTGAGATAAACAGGCTCAGAAAAGGGTAGTGAGGTCAGATCCCCATTCTCAAGAAGATCGAGTCTAAGCCACATCACAGGTGTCAGCAGCTGGGGGAAGCCTCCAGCTCCCTCCTGGGCCACTGGCACAGGCCAGGGCATGGGCATCAGCTGAGAGATGGGAAATGAGCTGGAGTGCACCACTGGTCAAGTTGAATGGACAGTGGGATAGAAAGGATAGGGGAATAGACAAGAGAGGAGAGAGATTAAGAGCTAGCAGGGGGAGGACTTCCGCCAAGATGGAGGCGTAGATGGAAGCACTGCACCTTCTCCCACAACTAAGTTTAAAAACAATAAAGTTTTAGCAACAAAAACGCAGCCAAACCACAGAAAATTGAACTACACGGAAGTCCGACAACAACGAACCCTTCAGCCAAACTGGTAAGAGGGGCAGAGCCAGCAGCAGAGCAGGGTCGGGCAGGAAAGATCCACCGGACTGACCCAGGCGCACAACCCAGGTGCGCCAGCAGCCGTGGGTGGATCCCAGGTGTGGAGAAGCGGGCGGACCCACTGAGGGCTGATCACGGTCACACATTCACGAATAGATAAACTGGTGAAGGAGCTAGCAGTGAGACGGACCGAGCAGGCCCCAGTAGCAGGAAGCGGCAGAGAGAACTGCCACTGTCCCTCTCTGACCCCACCCCCACATACAGCATCACAAACCAGCAACCTGAGTGGCCCCACCCTGGTAAACAACTAAGGCTCCGCTCCTCACACGTAACAGGCCTGAACAGATCAAAACATGGCTCAAGAACAACTCAGAGCCTCAGAGCCCATAACTCTGAGCCACCAAGAAATAGCCAAACTTTCAGATGCACAGTTCAAAACACTGGTGATCAGGATGCTCACAGAACTGGTTGATTTTAGTCACAAATTAGAGGAACATATGAAGGCTAAACTAATTTAAATGAATGGAAATACACAGGAAACCAATAGTAATGGAAAGGAAACTGGGACTCAAATCAAAGGAGTGGACCAGAAGGAGGAAAAAAATGACCACACAGAAAAGGATGAAGAAACAAGAATTCAAAAAAATGAGGAGAGGCTCAGGAACCTTCAGGACATCTTTAAACGTTCCAACATCCGAATTATAGAGGTAACAGAAGGGGAAGAGGAACAGCCACGAGTGGAAAACTTATTTGAACAAATAATAAAGGAGAACTTCCCCAATCTGGAAAAGGAAATACACTTTCAGGAAATCCAGGAGGCTCAGAGAGTCCCAAAGAAGTTGGACCCAAGAAGGAACACACCAAGGCACATCATCATTACATTAGCCAAGATTAAAATGAAGGAGAGAATCCTAGAAGCAGCAAGAGCTAAGGGGACAGTCACCTACAAAGGAGTTCCCATCAGACTGTCAGCTGATTTCTCAAAAGAGACCTTACAGGCGATGGAAAGAGGTATTCCAAGTCATGAAAACCAAAGATCTACAACCAAGATTGCTTTACCCAGCAAAACTTTCATTTAGAATGGAAGGGCAGATAAAGTGCTTCTCAGATAAGATCAAATTCAAGGAGTTCATCATCACAAAGCCCTTATTATATGAAATGTTAAAGGGACTTACCTAAGAAAAAGAAGATAAAAAAGGTGAACAGTGAAAGGACAGCAAACTCACAGTTATTAAGAACCACACCTAAAACAAAAGCAAACTAAGAGGACAGCTAGATCAGGAGCGAACCATAGAAATGAAGATCACATGGAGGGTTAGCAACAGGGGAGTGGGAGAAGGAGAAGGGGGAAGAAGGTACAGAAAATAAGTAGCATAGACGGTAGGTAGAAAATAGATAGGGGGAAGGCAAGAATAGTATGGGAAATATAGAATCTAAAGAACTTGAGACACGTGGTCATAAACTAAAGGGGGGAGTGGTGGGGGAGAGGGTGTGCAGGGTGGAGGGAAATGAAGGGGGGAAATAGAACAACTGTAATGGCATAATTAATAAAATATATTTTAAAAAAAAGAGCTAGCAGGGGAGAACACCGATGGGCCAAGGCGGTGGAGGAGAGAGAGAGAGAGAGAGAGAGAGAGAGAGAGAGAGAGAGAGAGAGAGAGTGAAGTGGGCCACACTGGTCGCCTAGGTGAAGAAAAGTGAAATCAGCATTGTGCCCACTCTTCACTGGATGCCAGTGGGGCTCCTCTCTAATTTCCCTGACATAACTGCTGCAGTAACCTTGTGGTTCTGGTCGTTATCCATTCCCAGAGGGACAACTGTCATTCCAGATCATGCAGGTTTACCAGAGAGCCAGTGCCAGCCTCCAAAAATCCCATGGGATGGAGCAGAGTTAGGCTCTGTTTGTCCTTGACAGGAAACGTGGGCAGACTTGCCCACTCAGCAGACCAGGAGAAGAGGATGTGCTGAGGCACACTGGCGCCTAGTCAAGGGCAACCTCTGGAGTGTTTGGACACAACTCGTGGAAGCCAGGTTTCAAAAGAGCAGGAGCCAGGAAACCTGGGTTCCAGCTGCTACTTGGCCATGAAACGAAGCTGTTACCTGGGTGAGTCACCTCTTGTTCCTGAACCTCAGTTCCCTCATTTGAAGAGGAAGGGGATTAGGTTTTTTGGCCTATATTCCATTTATTGTCTCTCCAGGGACAAAGGAAGGTCCTTAGAGGGGAAACTGGGAGTATCTGAAGCTGGTGATGTGAGAAGTGGGGTAGCAGAAGCAGCAGCCCTCTGTCCTGGCTGTGCTTTGCAAATGGATCTGGGGCTTCAAAGATATGACCCCATGGGTTGCTATGACAACAAGGCCTCATGAAAAGAGACAAGGCAGTACAAGTTGGCCTCAGTGGTGCTGAGAGGCAATCTTGGTGGTGGTGATGAGACATGGCATCTGCGGGCCTTGGGGACACTGGCTGTGTTGTGGGTCCCCAATGAGTGAGTCTGTCAGTAAATGCTGAGGGAAAGGTCTGGCATCATCCAGGGTGGAGATATGTCAGCGAGCCAATGCAAAGACTGTATAAACTCCAGACTCCACATCTCTAAATCAAAACAGTTCGCTATTTTACAAAAATAAAGGCCAAATTAATGAGAGGAGAGAATGATGGAAATCAGAATTTACTGGATTTGTGTTTGGTACCAGACTCTGTACCTTTCTACCTCCTGTTTTGAGAAAGGTAGCAATACTTCCCATTTTGGATAAGGAAATGGAGGCCCAGATAGAATAACTTGTCTCAGTTCAGGCAGCAGAACCAGGACTTGAAACTAGAGCTAGCCATGCTCTTTTAGTTACTCCAGGAGGCTTTTCCAAAGTGACCCAGTGAAACAGACAAACATCCAGGGCCAGGGCTGGGAGGACTGGACACTGAGGCCTTCCCAGAAATTGGCAGGCAGGCTACTGATGTGGCTGTTTTATTCCTTCTCTGGTGCTACCTGCTTCTCTCAGCAGGGCCCATGCCCATCCCACAATCTCTTACCTGCACTGACAGTGATGGCCTCCATGAATTGGTCCCTCCAGGAATGGGTCCCCACAACCAAGGCCAGATTGGTCTTCTTGATCAGTTTGTCCACTGTGCTCTGTCAGGCAGAGAGAAACTTGGAACCATGAGGTTAGAATGCTCAGAACCATTGAGGAGTCTGGTGCCTCAAGGGAATGAAAGACTTCCTGCATCCTAGGGTGCTCCACATGCAATCTCCAAGCTACTCATGGAACCATCTTTGGGGATTTCTTCTAGGACAATCTTTCTATTTCCTTTTACTTTGTTGTAACTGCTGACATTGGATATTTAGAGTAATATAACAGAAAATAACAGTAATGATATCAATGAACCTTGCCCTGGAGTAGTAAATTTTAGTATCTTTGTTTTAATAATACAGTTAAGCCATAGCAGTGAGACATCATAGCCCATCTATTCCATATGTTATGTTATGTTTCCTCACAATATTCCCCAGATAGAAAATAGCCAGCACTGTAACTTCACACAATCAGTGGTACTATGGGAACAGAACACAGGGTCATCTACCTCCCACCCCATGACTCTATTACTCAATTAGATCTCATTTATGGCCTGACCTTGAACTCATAGGACTCTTCAATGATGACCTCTAGTTTGGGGTGTTCACCCAATACTGGCTTTCCCATTTCTGCTATCCTCTTGGCTTCCTCTTCCTCCACAGTCAGCTTCCTGTCTGTCACCTCTGCAACAAAACAAAATCAGACTAGCTTTAGCATGTTCTCCATTCCCTAAAAATCTAAAGTTCAAGCATATTAGGCCTGGGCAGCGGGGATAAAGCAAACAGCTCTGGGGAATGGGGATTTTGTACACCTTTTGGTGCATATTTCTATAAAGCACTGAATACTTTATGACCATCAGACCATAACAAGTTTCCCTGCAGACCTGGAATAGGCACCCCTCTTTCTGTTTTACACCTCAGTGGGCAACTTGACCCAGTGACCTTAAGTCCCCAAGTTATTTGGTAAGATTGGAGAGATGGGACCATATCTCTTGACCTTGAACTATCTTAAACTGTTGTGCCTGACTGTTCAGCTACTTCATCTAAGAGTTCTTGGAGGTCAGAGGCACAGTCAAACCCTGGGTAATGTCCACTGGTTTATAATAACATCTGCTTCCAACACTCTCAGCACTATCCCCTTTATAAAGGAGAAAGGGGGGATGTTTCCAGCAATATCTACACTTCATACAAATGAATATTATCCCTTCAAAGTTTTATCATTTTCCAATGAGAGATCCCTAGATTTCTGTAGGAAGCTGGCACATTTCTTGTGGAACATAAATATTTGTTCTGAGGCATTCCTGTGTCCCTCAGCATCTTTGAGTCATTTATCAGTGGTCCCTTCTCATGTTGAATGGTTAGAAAATTTTTCCACTTCAGCTGGAGAGTCCATTTTAAGACCACTTCACCATGAAGACATGTTTTCTGGATTAGAGTGAAATAGAGATTGAATCTTTTTATTCCCCTTTGATTAGATAATTGCTCTTGGCAGCTTGTTTCTTTCAGAGCTTGTTTAAACATTTTTCCATCCAAGTCCACATTCTTGCATGCAATTAATTCTTTTATTCAGCTCCTTTAACTGCTTTCATTCCACACAGTAAATATCCAAGGGAGATCCTCTGGTCTTTGGATAATCTCAAGGAATGGGTCAGAGACCACAAAGATCTTCTTTTGTATCTTGAGAATTAGTGAAACATGGGAGGGATGAGACTCGAGCTCTTTAAGTTGCAAAGAAAAGCCAAGGATGTAAGTTACCAAGCAGAAGAGCCTATTTTATATGAGGATTTTCTTAGTGGGTCTGAATAAAGATGGTAAGGGCATGCAGAGAGGATCCCTGAACTGGCTGTTTCACTCAGTGCTTCTGGCACCAAACACAGAAGGCGATTCCAAAGTGTTTGGGAGCTGTCCGTGGTGCTGCTGTCCTGCTGTTAGTGTTGGTGATGGCTTTCAGAAACAAGTATTTCTCAAAGTTCTACTTCTAAGTCAACAGACACCATCTAGTAGCCTGACTTCTTTTAATTCATTAATTTTGAGTCTCTTATTAGTTATTTCTTAAGGTAAATCTGGGCTCATCCAGAGTTCTGGCTATGAAGTCAGTGATCCCAGAAGCTAGACTGCAAGCCACTCTGAGAAAAAGCCTTTGTTTGAAAAAGACATACATTCCTCAAAAGCATGGGTACTCTTTTCCTCTGCCTGTGGGTTTTGGCACCATGCAGCAATGACTATCCTAGCAGCGACAGTATTGTTCCACTCCCCCTCCCCAATTACCCCATGTCGTACTTTATATGTGCCACAAGTACTTTATACCAACATAATGAGCTCTCCAGTGACATACAAATGTACCTGTCTAACCCCTTGTCTAGCAATCAATCTAGCACAATATCTATCTGGCAGGCTATTGATCAACCTACTGACCTGTCCACCTCTGTGGTGACAGTTTTTCCATCTAGCTTTCCTGAAGAAATGCCTTTGACAAATAACCAATCCTCTGTCTTTGGATCTCCCACAGCCCCAGAGAGGTAATACATATATCTGATTCCATTTGAGACAAGTCTAATTTAGTGTTTTGGGTTGGTAGCAATTTCTTCCTTTTTTATTTTTGTAATAATAAAAATTGTTAATTTTTTCACATTACTTTTACTTTGTTCACATTAATTTCTTGACAGAGTACTGAATCTCAAACCTAAAAAAAAACATTTTGATTCTGACCACTTATTTATATAAATCTTCAGAATTTCATGTAAAGAGAATATATGGCAGGTGATGTTGATATTCAGACTGACTAAATATACTCTCAAACCTAGAAAAAGAAGGATGGGAGAAAGAGAGACAGAGAAGGAGACAGAGAATAAGATGAAAAGTTGAGTGGATATTGGAAGAACAAAGAGCTTGCCAGGATGGAAAGGAATAAATTGCCATGAATGCTCTACAGACATCTGCAAAAAGAAGTGAGGCAATGCAGCCAATGCTCTCTCTCCCAGGGCCCTGAACTTGGTGCTGTAGCTCAGAATGAACATATTTATTCTCCATCTTTCACCACCAAGCACTGTTAATTGCATTTGCCCATCCTTCTGGGAAAATTCAAACAAAAATTTAAAATTTTCAGTAAGTTTAAAGTCTAGCCAAGAGCTCTTAAATTAAAGTTTCAGTAGATTGAGTTGAAAAGATCTAGGAAATAACACCTTCTTTTCCTTTTTAAGCTTCTATTGGTATTTGTGACAATATGCTTAAAGTATAAGAAGCTTAAGTTAAATCACAGTCTGTTTTATATGGTTGGTGAGAGGTGGAGGCAAAAGTTTGAACAAAGAAGCCCAAATATCTTCAGGCAAGAGGATGAGGGAAGACGTGGTAGACAGCAATACCCTGGGAGACTAGTCAAAAATACAAGGTTGGAGGTAGTCCTTATCTTACTGGCACAAAGAGAAAGCAAGACGCTAAGGAAGCTGGAGTAACTTTTTTTTTCAGAAAGGGAAAATATAGGAATTTACCCACATTTTCTGTGTGTGTGTTTAAGGCAACAAGGGCAAATGTATACTATGTATACTTCCCCTTTCTCAAACCCAGGGTGAAGCCTATAGGTGGCTTTGAACACCAATACATTATATAAGATGCCTTGCCTCTTAAATTACCTTGAGTTTTTATATGTTCAAAGAATATATACTTTGAAAATGTTCTTTCAATATATACTAAGACATCCTATATAGCTCACTCTGCCTGCACCATGAGCTGCACCCATGAGCAGTATTGCTGGGTGTGATGGGCATGCTTTTGTATTTGCTCACAAAATTAGATGTTTATCATTGGATTCCATGATTCAAGCATGCTCTCAAAGTGGGCATATGTCCTGCAAAAAGTTCTAGGTTCTGCGTGAGAATCTCCTTAAAGTAAAATCTCTAAAATTTCTATTTCCAGACAGATAATTACCCCTCTCCCCATTATATCCTAACTCTTCTTGTTGTTCATGGCACATGTGACTTCAAGTACCAATGACAAATAAATCAAAGTTCTAGCAATTCAAAACTTAGCTGTGCTAAGATGGAAGATCTCCAGGATCTGCAAAATTTCAGATTATTTAAAAATTGCTTGTCATGTTCTCACAGCAGCTCCTGGATTATTTTTCTCTGGATCACTCAAGATCAAAGTATTTTCTTTCAAATCCCATCATGATCCTGTTAGGAGATTCAGCTCTGACTCTCATTCTCTCTTGCCTCACAACATGAGATGACCGATTAAGTAAGGCCCACTGGCTCTTTGGTAAGTTTCAATTCCCTTCCTGGTCTCAGAGAAGACCAACCTTGCTTTTATCTACAAACACTGACAGAAATGGTGCTCAAGGAATTGTCTACTTCCTTATGATTACTTCAAGTGAGGAAATCAATCTCCTAGTCTTTAGGAAAACTTGTTGGATTAACTTGAGCTTACAGCTCCTATGAAATAAATCAAAGGAAATTGGTTTTAAACTAAGTAACAGCACTGGCAAGAAGTAGAAAAAAGGGGGCATGGCACCTCTTACCTGGAGACAACAGGAGCGCTGTTTGCAAATGGATACCAGACAAGGGGAAGAAAGAAAAGGAAAGAGCATTAAGGTCCCATCTTTAAAGTTTCCCCAGGCTTTGTGGTTGCAGCAGCATAAGAAGCAGTGAGCTTACTTGGTGAGAGAGCTCTGCAGCCACATGCGAGAGGCAGCAGTGGGAGCATGCGCAGCAGCAGCAGCAACAGCAGCAAGAGGTGTGAGCCACTGGAGAGACTGCTGAGCACCAGGGCAGTGCAATTATGAGAGTTTCCCCCACACCTTCCCTGCAGCTTTGTGGGCCAGGGAGAGAGGAACAAGGATGGGGAAACCAGTGGGTGAAGCAGAGAAAGGGCTGGTCACTTGTGATCTTCTAAGGAATCAAGCTATTACATCCATTTTGGAAGAGTGAGAATCCAGTTACCTTGAAAACTGTATACAGATTGCAACCCTATTGTGGGGCTTGAATAGGAGCTCAGGGCACTGAATAATGGTGTATAAGAGTTTTGGTATCTATGTCCCATTCTGGATCTTCTATCCCTAACCTCATAATTAGATCATGCTCAGCCTCCCAGTGCTCATAAGATTTTCATGGCCACTGATGGCTTCTTAGCTACCATGTTGGCCAAAACTTTGAGTTCCTCTGAAAGAAATACCAACAGAACATATTCCTTGAATTTTTTTTTGTGTGTACAGATATAGCCTGGAGTTCAAGGCTGTGCACTCCTACTATTTTCTATCACCTGTGCCTAGCAAAGTCACTGCAACTAGTTGTTATTTGTTGACTGCTTTGGTAATTGTATTTTTCATAAATTCGTGGTGCTCCATCTCTAGATGGTTGCCTTTTTGTTCTATAAAGGACAGGCTAAATTAGAGCCCAGATATTCTGGACCAGAGAGACTGCCATATTTATAAAAAGTTATTCATAGATGGGAGATGCCAAATACAAGGTCTCTACATGAACTGAGAAGCTGAGTTAAAGGTGTATCCCACATAGGTTGTCCCTAGCCCCTCAGTTTGTGCTCATGCTGAACTCTTTTAGATTTCAAGGTTGAAAAAAAATTATTCAGATGTACATTTTCATCTTGATGGTGTCTAAACACAGCCCTTTAATCCCTGGCTCTTGTTCAATGAAAATCTGGGAATATCCTGCCACATACTCCTTTGTAGCTGGTGACTGACAGAGATTGCTGAGGAAGGAGTGGAGGGAGGGTGTCTGTGAATTGTTTCTTCTAAAAATCTTTAAGAGTACATTTAGACCTGTGATTCATCATCCTATTTTTGTAGTCCCTGAAGACACCTGTGGATCCAGAATGTTTATGGTATAAAAGCAAGGAGAACAGCAATTCTGACTTTTTCTGGTTTCTCCCATATGGAATCCCAAGGGGTAATGAATCCGTGGATCTCTGTACTATCATGAGATAGATAGAGAGATAGATAACAACAGAGGTTGTTCATTCTGCTTCTTCTATTGATCTGCATGGAGGACCCCCTCTTGGCCCTACTTCCAGTAGAGACCAGAGACCCAAACACAACAGCGCACCCAGGTAGGCTAGACAAGGGGCAGCTCTTCCAAAACGTCCCTGTTACCCCGTTTTTCACTTAGGCATAACTCCCAACACCAAGATCATCCCTAGCACAGCAAGATGGCTTGCAGTTAGCTGGAATTTCACTATTCTCTGGTCATTCTGATCTGGGACTTTACACCTAGCAGTTAAAGATGGGTCAGTATATTCCATGTAGCCCAACTTTGAGTGACGTGGTATGTCCCAGGTATTTTCCAGCTGCTACTGCTGAGAGAAGCTGGAGCTGAACTTTCACCTGCATTGATCCTCAGGGTTAGGTGAGAGCCACCTATCCATGCCCAGACACCTCAGGGACAAGCAGAAAACAACATAGTTCTGTGAGTAACTGGAGGCATCTGGGCAGCTTGTCAGAGTGAACCCATGAACGCAGCAAGAGGAGGCACAAACAGGCCTCATGCTTGGGGGGGAGGGCTCTCCCTTTCCACCTGAGACTTTCAGTGTCCAGGCCTAACGGCCTTGACTATTCTACTCAGTATTGCTCTCAGGAGTCCACTTCTACTCTACTCCCAGGCAACTGTGTTTCCTTTTCATCCTCCCTCTCCCCCTCCCCTAGCTTGTCCAACACCTTTAACCTCACCTCTGAAATCTGTTTTGGTTGCCAAGAATAGAATCTCCTATTTCAAATCCAGGCCTTAATTACTATTTTTTTTTCTTTTTGAGAATATAATTGTCATTTTCACCATGCAGAGACCGTGCTATTGTGAATACCTAAGACTCTCCCATGTGGCAGTCATAACAAAAAGCAATTTCCACTGTACTGTTTCTCACTCCAAGAACAGCAGGGAATTCTTGAAATCAGAATGGGTTTTCATTGATTCTGAGTCTAGGCAATTAAGCTTTATGACCTTTCACCTTATGGTCTGATACCAAAATACAGGAAGAACTGAAGAAACCAAAAACTAACCCAAAGGACAATATAGGACAGGATACCAGGCAATGAATACATTTACTATTAACCCCTTTCATCTTGGCATTTTGGTCAGTGGAAAGAACTGGGACACATCACACAGATGACCTGATGAAATCCCGCCTTTTACACATGTTCTCCCCCAGAACTAGGCCCTAATAGAACTCTGCTGACATCTCCTTGGACACAGAATCCAGTGCAGCAAAAAGGGGTCCTTAAGAGGGAAGTATCCACAGGCATTTGCATTTGACCCAGGCTTATCTTCGGTATTCTCTGTCCTGCTGCCAGTAGGATTGGTTGGGGAGGCAAAAAAGAAGAGCCTCTTTACTGGTGGAATAAAGTCACAAACAGACTTCCAACCTATTCTTCTTGTCCAGAGTCACTGCCTTCTTTCCAGCTATGCTATATGATCCCTTTGCTCTTTTCATTTATATCTGAGTTCTTGGGACGTGAAAGTTGATGAAGCTAGTGTACAATGATCTTATGTGTCTGCTACATCCAACCCTTGAGGAGGATGTGGAGAGAATGTACAAGGGAGGTGGGAATGAAGTAGGGCAGGTGTTGAGATAATTTCTGAGAGTATTCTCAGTGGTGGACATTGGAGGAGTGCCAGGAATACAATCTAGGAAGCAATGAAACCAGATTATTTTTTCCTTTCTTCCAGCACTCTTTGGCAGTCAGGCTCATGGCAGCATCTTATCGAGTGGCCAAGGAGAGAATGAGTAATAGAAGATGGAGAGGGCTTCTGCTTCTAGAACACCAGGAATGTCCAAACCAGTGTGGGCATAGAAGTGGTTAGGTCTGCAGAGCGAGTCCACAGAAGATATTGAGGGATGATCAATCATATTGGTCTGAGAAGACCTGTCAATGAGCCTTTGGGAGTATAGCTGCCAAATCACTTAGATCTGTCCTTGGGTAAAAGGCTTTAGGATGCTCTTTGTCATGTGGATATGAAGTAATTGCAGAACAATCACCCCTTTTGACAAACAGGTGTGTCTGTTTGATCTTCCACAGGCTCCCAGCAGCAAATGTCCCCTGAAGGGGAGTGTGAATGTCCTCCTCTTGGTATTTCCCACACCCTTACCTGTTCCCACTTTCTCCAATACTTTCAAAGTAGTAGCTTCCAATCATTTTCTTCAAGGCATGAAATTTTTCCTTACATCTCCCTTGGTTGCAGCATAATCAATCCCTTAGGAATGGAGCCCTGGCAGGTATTCCAAGATGCATGTCCAGAGGTAAGGAGATGAAGGCACTTCTTTGGTGTGGGATAAGGGTTATCTTGGGATCTGAGTGATATGCTCATTTGTAGATATGAAGCAAAGGCAGCCTTCCGTGAACCTTTAAACACCTACTTCTGAAGATCACCACCAACTATACCATTTAGAATCACTTCTCCAATCGGAAAAGTCAATACTCTGGGCCTGCCCAATATCCGTCCTTCTCCAGGGCCCTCTGGCTAGGGTGATTTTCAAACTTGGAACTATTTCCTTTCTTTTGCAGACTCTCAATTTTCTACTTTAAAGGTCTCATTATCCTAAAGTAGCCCAAATACAGTACCCTACCTTGGACTAGGAGCAGAAGTAGAAGGCAATAGGGTGGGAGGCCAAGGGGAGGAAGAATAGCTCAAGATTGCAAATTACATGACAATCTCAGAAGCCAGGTCTCTCTCAAAGAGCTCTCAGAAGCTATGGCCTCTGTCCAATGGCACACATTTTCAGGTCACAGTCTACCCAACTGTGAAATAGCCAGATAAAACACTTACCTCCATGAAGGGCAGAGGGGCCTATGGGGCACTCTGCAAGTGAATAACCTGCCAAGCACTTGATGGAGGGTGGGGAATGCAGCAGAAAACGGTCAAAGCATCATTGCAACATGGGCCCCAGCCCCCATCAGACCCTCCCCCATTCAATTCAGGCTAGAAGGTGAGGGGTGAGAGGGGAAAGAAGGCAGGATAAGGGTACCAGCATGCAGCATATCACATTCCTTTCTTTTTCTTCTCCTCCCCACCCACCAAGGAGTTTCCACATTTACAGGTTATGGTGGGGGCTGCTGTGGGGGAGAGTGCAGGGGACAGTGGTAATCAGATTACTGGAGAACAAGGCAGAAGTAACTCATGAGGGTAATGAGGAGTTGAGGCTGCAGCGCTGCCCAAACAGTGGGAAAGGAGGACTTGGAAATAAGCTAAGACTGAGAAGGCAGAGATGATACCGAAACAGGGTGAGAGCGCGAATACAGGAGGGAAAAGAATAAAAAAAAAAATCGGTTGGTCAAAAGGAGGAAGGAGGAAAAGGGACAAAAAACAGGGAGAAAAAATATAGTTGCTTTTTGTTGTTGCTTTTCAGTTTAATTTTTTTGTTATTGTTTTTTTTTCTTTTTAAAGAATCTCACACCTGATATTCCACGTTCCATCCATTTCGGTTCACCAAGGGCAATGAAGAAATTCTCTTGCCTTTCGTATTCCTCCTCATCTACTATTTTAACCCTTATGGTTTTCCTGTAGGGACAACAAGAGAGAGAGTGTGTGTCGAGTGGGTCAGCAATTGGATGGTCACTTGGAGCACAGCCTTTAATATTATCCCCCATCACTCTTGGTGCATGCAGCCCAGTCCCATCGTGGTGGCTTTGACAGGACTATGGTGGACTGTATTCTTGTATTTAAAAAATGGTCTTAGCTTTTCTTGTCTCCTTGGTCATAGTTGTTCTTATGAGTGAGAGGGAAAGGGAGCCAGGAGGCAAAAAAAAAGTGGGCAAAGAAAGGAATCCAAGAGGATGGCGAGGGAATGGGAAGGGAGAAGGGGTTGAGGGTGGAGAGGAGTCATTTTAAATTCTGCTGGTGGTTAGTAGGAAGTGAGCTGGGTAGCACATTCCACTGGGTGTCACATGGTAACAGTGGCATTTCTTTGGGCAGCAGGTAAACTATTGGCCCATTGGGAATGACCCAGGCCCCTTCTACAACAGGAAACCTGTCAACAGCACCTGGCTAGGGACTTCTTTCCCTTCCTTGTGTCTATACCTACTGCCTATGTGAGCTTCATAAAGAAAAATTTAAAAGGAAAGTATGTACAAGGAAGGGAAATGAGAGAGAGAGTGAAAGCAAGAAAGGCAGAATTCTATTATCTCATAGGGATTCCACAGTGAAAATGAAAATAAGTATGTTTTAAATACTACATGATATAGGGATCCTTTAATATTTATAGCTGATGTACTCATGGGAAAGTGTGAAGAAAATGATGTAAATCATCAAATTTTAAATCACCTTTGGACTTCTCTCATATCAGAGTAACATGTCCCAAGGCTGACTTCCTTCAATGCTGATTATCAAGGGCCCAGGGGACAAGGTGATGGGGGCTTCTGTTCACTTCTGAGTATCTTAACAAAGCCTTGTGTCTTTTAGAAACAAATCATGAAGGAATACAAGTTTTCTTGAAAATTGTTCCCCTCCAAAGACTGGCATGAGGCTGGCTCAAGCCTATTGTCACTGGAGAAGTTGCCATGCAGTCTTGGATCTCCCTGGGTCCTTCTCCTGGTCTTCCATGGAGCCACAGAGGGGTTGATGGGCCCCCATAGTGAGCCCTGATCTCTCTCTGGCCTGGAACCTAAATGCTTTCTAAAGGTCAAGGAAGTGCTACCAAACAATAGCTTAAAATGTCTAATCAAAGCTTCTGATGACCCTATGCCATTCTAAAGACAGGACCACCCTATCTAATGAAGTGGTGAGCTGATCTGAATTGTTTTGTAAGGCTTAGGACTTGCTGGTGTGTGTGTGTGTGTGTGTGTGTGTGTGTGTGTGTGTGTGTGTGTTCTACAAGCACATTTTTTGATCACCTTCCTAGCACTTTTTTGGACACCTTGCTCAGTGTCCAAAAAGACAAAGCTCACTGATTGCCAAGGAGCATTTTCTCAGAATTTCTCTCCAGGCCCCAGACCCTGGGGCTGTCCCTGAGGTGTGAGCCTGGCCTGTTTTCCCACTGCAGGGACTGTGCTGTGGGATGGGAACTGGCTGCTTGGTAACCATGTGCATGGCCTGGAGGGAAATGATCAACAGCTCTGCCAGGAAAGGACACAGATTCATCTATACAGAAAAGGACTGTCTGACTTGCCTGTCAGAGAGTATATGGGGTATATGGCATCATTTAAGTTCAAGACAAAAGCTCCCTTTACTCTGAGAAGTCCTGTGACTTCTTGAAGAAGCTTTGACTCAGGTCAGAATCTTCTTTCCCACGATTGTAACCCCCTGCCTTCATATTGTTTCCCCCTCACAGGGAAAACAGAGTACTGTGAGTAGGTCTTTGACCTAGACCTGAAATTCAAACCTGTACTTTCAGCTCAGTCAAGGTCAAGGAGAGGAACACCTTGATAGCAGGGATATGACACATAAGGACAGCTCCTAAGGCTTGCTTTGGGGAATGGGATAAACCACAAACAGAACCCAAATCTAAATACATTGATTCTCAATGCCCAGGGACTGAAAGCTTAGCCCTGAGAATAGCTGTCTGATGGAAATCTGTGCTGAGAGCCTGGGGGAGTCTATAAGGGCTACCCTCCCACCTGGCACTGTGGTGTCTGGTCTTTTCCTTTCCTGTATGTTAAGCCATTCAGGAGAAGAATAGGCATATGTGATACCCTCAGGGTTGTGGCGCTCCTCTTTCTCTCTCTTCTCTTTCTATCTCTCTCTCTCTGTTTTTCCCCCAAATCCATTTCCCCATCTTACAAAATTTACCATTGGCTCTTGAGCATCCCTCTTATAGATACCATGTGACAGGCTGGCAGATGTTAGGACACAGCTGGGAGCAAAGAGAGGAGAGGGAGAGAGGAAAAGAGATAACAAGAACAGAAACAAGAGAAAGTGAACCAGAGAGATAGAAGAAAGGGGAGGAAAAGGAGACAAACAGATTGGAAACAGAAAGAAACAGGAGGTGAGAAGAATGTCAATGTTAGTGGGGAGGACAGGGTACTACACCTTTCTGAAAACTCATATCCACCATGCGGGGACCCATCATCTCAATGAAGTAATTCTTGTTTTTCTCATACGCCTCATCATCAATTACCTTGATGTGAATTGTTTTGCTGTGGATGGAAAAATAAGTATCATAAGCAGGAATAGAGTGGCAGGGGAGAGGGGGACAAGCCAGCCAGAAGAAACAGGAAGAGAAGGAAACAGTGAAAAGGTCCAGGAAGGTCACAGTTTGCCCCAATATCACAGAGGCATGAAGGACAGGGGCTGCCCCAGTCCCCTTCCAGCCTCACTGGGCTCCTCCTGGGCTTCGTGTGACTTCATGGCATGCACAACTCGAGGACTGGAAAAAGCACAGGCTTTACAAAGGTTCTAGGTTCTGATCCTGGATTTGCTATGTGACCTTGGACACTTTAACTGGTGCACACACAGGCTGAATAATGGTTACTTGATCCCAGGGCAGTTCCAGAGCAATGAAATAATACACATATAATGGCTCAGGCATTTAGATCCACCATGTTTGCTTGCATATCCTTCTTGCTTTGGGGACAAGGGAGAATTTTTTTTAATTTATTTTTTACTTTAAAAATCAGCTAATATTGATCTGAAAGCTTTATTTATAGGAAAAGGGGAAGCAGAGGGGACTTGGCCTTTGGGAGTCTTGCCTGAAAAGAGTCAAACTTCTCCCTTTCTTTGGGGCAATGACTATCACAGGCAGGCCAGGAAGGCCATTTGGCTTGAGTTGCACATCCTGATAATTCACAATGGGCCTCAAAACCTACTGAGGCCCCCAAATGGGTGCCTACAGTCATGGGGATGCACTGACCAGACCCCAGTAGCTCCAGGGCATTAGCTCTGAACTGTGATTAGTTTATATATCCTACAGTGATATTGTGACTAGCACAACACTGTTTATGTGTTATGTTGTTTTTTTTTTATTAAAACTGTTATTTTGTTCATTTAAACATTAAAAACTGTAAACCAATTTTAGTAACTCTGTTTTGTATTTCTTCTTTTTTAAAAAAATATTACTAGGAGTTTTAAAAACCAAGACAGATCTGGGCCAGCTCTTCCAACCTTTGTTTGATGACGAGGATATTTCATGACTAGACCCCAGTCAAGGTGTTTAGGCCTGTCCCAGGGGGTGTGAAACATTGTTCAACAGGGGTAGGCATGAAGCTTAGTCTCCCCTAAGCAGTGGGAAAGAAGGAACCCACAAAGAAGTCTTGTTCTGCTGTCTGTGGGTATGCCCCTTTCAGACTCAGAGACCTGGCCTTTGTTCAGGAGGCTAAGGCCTTCAGCTCCTCCCATTATTCTTTGTTCTAAAGTAGGAATATCTTTACTTTCTGACTTGGGATGACCTTTCTGCTCTTCTGAGCTTTTACAAATCACCATTAGAGCTGGGCATCTACAGAACTTCCTTTGTCCACACTGTTGATTCTGTAGAAGTAGTTGTGGGTCCAGTGCTGCTGCAGTGAATGTAATAGCAGTTACTAACACACTCTAGACCCTGGGGACCAATGCTTCAGAAAAAAGACTCCATCCCCTCATCACTGGCCACACCCACTCCAGTCACAGAAACCCCACAGAAAGATGAGTGTTCAACCTCCAAAAGGCCACACTGGGCCTTCCTTCCTCCAGAGCAGTGGCATTGGTAATGGAGACTGATGTCTGGGGTCCAATTTGGCCCCCACCTCTCATTAACTGAGTGACCTTGGGCAACTTGCTAAAGCTCTCCAAGTCTCATTTGTGAAGTGGAATACTAGTATCTCTTCATAGCATTCTTTAAAAAGATCATGCATGGGAAGTGCTTGACAGGGTTTGTGTTCCCTAGTAATTGTTTAATAAATAGCAACCATTGTTATTGAGAGTAGTATAACCTGGTTGATGGCTGGAGAGTAATATATAACGGAATCATCATTTCTAGTCAATAAGTCAAAAACTAAGGGGAAGTCAATAAATAATACTGGTGACCCAACATATGGCATGGGCTGAAAATAGCAGGTCAAGAAAGAATTGGATAAAACAGGATGCTAGATACCACCAAATGGGTTGAAGGGCTTAGAATGGGGAAGGATGGAAGCATGGAGAACAAGTCTCATAATCTCCTCAAATTTGGCCTTGTGTCCTTAGGCAGCAACAAACTTTGGGCTGGAAGGATCACTTGCCATAAAACATAAGCTTCGTGTGATGTTTTGACGAGATAAACAGAATAAGAGAAGCCACCATAGTTGAAGATAGGGAAATGAGAACAAACATTGAGTAGTTACAAGAGGAATTGGGTTAGCTAGCTGGAACCACTTGTTGGAGGGTGTCACAAGTGGAGGAGGCAAGTGTGGGACTCCCTCACTGAGATCATTAATGGGGAAGGCATCACACCTGTTTGAACATAAGGCGTCACCTTGCCCAGAGCCTAGAGAAGTCCTTCACTTTTCAAGAGTTTTCAGCTCTTGAAAACTGAGAAAGTTCTCAGTTCTGCTCGAGCCACAAATGAGGTCCAAAAACATTTAAATTTAGTCTGAGTCACCAGCCAGGTCTTGAGTTCTCTTTCCAAACTTACCCTTCCCCATTTCAGTCAATGGCACCATCTACTATCAAATTGCTCAAGCCCCACCCAGACCTGTGTGGTTCGGTTGGTTGGGCATGCCCTGAAAAGTGAAAGGTGGCCAGTACATTTCTCTTTCACATCAATGTTTCTCTCCCTCTCTTTCTCCCTCCCTTCCCATCTCTAAAAATAAAATATATAAAATCCTTTAAAAACAACTGCTCAAGCCCCAAACCTGGAATCGCCGATTCTTTCCTTTCCCTCATCCCTCCTCCTCCCCTGAGCCCACCTCCAATCCTAATCCATTTAATTTGCATGGTCTATTCCTCTGCTATTAAGACCTGGATCAAAACACCATTAATTCTCCCTTGGACTTTGCAATAGCCCCCTAACAGATTTTCCTGCTCCTGCCTTTGCCCTTTAACTGCAAACCCTTCCCTGCAATAACTACCAAGGCTACCTATTAAAAATGCAATCCAGGCCCAACCACACCCCCTATAATTGGATAAATATATTGGGTTGGCCAAAAAGTTCATTTGGCTTTTTCCGTAAGATGGCTCTAGGAGCACTTAGTTGTCTTTAAGTTCATTCAAAACAATTTTGTTACATTGTATTGTGACAGCTGTCATACCAGCATACATTAAAAAAACTTATTAAAATTGGTGAATTTTATGTAGCCATTTTAATATTGAAGATCAGAGAAAATATGCAACACTTTCAGCAATTATGCTTTATTTCAAGAAAGATAAAAACACAACTGAAACACACAAAAAATTGTGCAGTGTATAAAGGAAGTGCTATGATATATGATTGAACGTGTTGAAAGTAGTTTGCAAAGTTTCATGTTAGAGATTTCTTGCTGGATGATGCTCTATGGTCTGGCAGATGAGCTGAAGTTCATAGCGATCAAATCAAGACATTAACTGAGAACAACCAACATTATACCATGTGGGAGATAGCTGACATACTGTGAAAATGAAAAATGTGTCTTTTATTTTACAGAGAAAACTAAACAGCTTTTTGGCCAGCCCAATATAATAAAATCCTTTCATGGCCTGCAGGATCTTCTATGCTACAGGTGCTGTTGACCTCACTGACTTCCTTCATAACATTCCCCCCTTGGTCTTTCTCTTTCTCAAATCAAGTGGGATGTCCTTTCCCACTTAGGGCATGGTCCTTGCTGTTCTCCATGTCTGGGTCTGTGCTTTGCCTCACCTTTTGAGTCTCCACATATATCACATACTACCTCCTTGGAGAGGCCTTCCATGGCCATATGTCTCATGGGTCACTTTCTTCCCCACCATTCCCCCATCTCTCCGCCATGGATCACTTTCTATCCTGTCCCTTCTGCTCATTCCCTTCAGGGCACTAATCACAGACTGAAGTTAGCTGGTTAGTTTATTAATTACTTGTTTATAGTCTGTCTGTCCCCATTAGACTGTGAGTGCCATGTGGGCAGGAAATTTGTCTCCAATGTGCCACTGTAGTCCTAGTGCCTGGTACAGAGGAGTCCCTCCCTCAGTGATGACTTAGTGAGTGATTGACTAATCTTGAATTTCTAATACACTTGAGGCTTCATGAAATCAATCTACTTTGCCTTTTTGTAGTAAAAATATAACTCAGTGGCAAAAAAAGGACAAAAATATTTTGAAGGCTATTTTGATGGAATGTTCAAGGATTCTCAGTGAGACAAAGAGACTAGAATCCCAGTGTCATTGAATATATCCTCAGATTATTAGCCTACTTTACTTATCCAATCTGCAGAAGAGCTCTCCAACAAACTGGGATCTAACTCATGGGTGTAGGCTAGGTTTTTGGAACCCTATGTCTCTCCTATTCCCAATTCCTCCTTCTGTCCCATTGACATTTACTAAGTGGTCATGGGGTCAGCTTATCCCAAGCAGCTGCTCCTTGAGCCACTAATGCTTTCTGAGGTTCCAAGGACTGCCCCTGCTTCTCCTTGGAGCCTCCTGCTGAGGGAGGTGCAGCATTCCCAGCTAATACCTGGCTGTGCTGCTTGGGAAAGATGCTCCCAGGGGATCTCCCACCAACAACCGGGAAGGGATTAGAAAATGCATTGCTGAGCTGCCTGACTGGAGCATTCCTTTGCACTGAAGACAGCTAATTCCAAATCAGACCTCTGGTCCTTGGTGTACTGCAAAGAGAAAAAGCTGCTCTTCAACCACTGAGTTCCCCTAGGGTGAAAGGGGAGGAAGTGGTATTGAGTTGTTGAATGGATGAGTGAATATTAATTGGAGGAGAACCCTGTGAATTTTCCTTTATGCAACAAGGAGATGTAAGATAATATATGCAGTTACATTATATTCAGCACCATGAGAACTTTCTTATTTCATGCTTATTTAAACCGTGAAACATATCTATTATTATTTCCCCTTTAAAGATGAGACAACAGACACTCAGGAAAGCTAAGTAACTTGCCCTGAGTAACACTGCTAGTAAGCAGCAGAGCTGGGATTTTAGCATATGTCTCCTATTACTCCTATAGCTGACTTTATACAAGCAAATGGACAAACTCTGGGTATCATTCCCAAGCTGTGGCCACAGTGA